CCGGACTTCTTATCCACCAACTCCGGTGAATTTATTATTCCGTTAATTTTCAACTCCGGAATGGCGAGCGGAAGACGTGTACTTAAGGGTAAAAATTTTTTTCAAGGAAAAAAAGAAATTTACCCTCAAGACACTTTCATACGTAGCAAGCTCATAATTAAAAAGATCCCTGAAGGAATAATATTACGGCTTTTGTTACAGTTATCTCATTAAAAAAAACTAATTGCTCAACCTAACTCCCTCAACACCTAATCGACAATTTTCCTGTATTTAATACACCATTTCCACTCTCGATGAGTAATTGAAGCCATTCCAATTCTCCAAGAGGCTTGGAAAAAGAAGTTTCTGATGTGCAAACTTACTTTTTCAATATCTCACACGATAATATCCCATGAGCTAATGGCCTTGAATGTTTTTTTTATAGTATTTGAAATGAAAAAAACTTTTTCTCGAACTAATGAAATAAATCCAGTCTCTCGATAAAATAAAAATCCCTCTCATCTCCCGACTAAACCACCATTTCCCGTTTATCCAAATTAAATCAATAACAACAATTTCACACTGAAATGGCAATAAATATTTGCCAGAGTGATTTACCATCCGTAGAAAGTTGTCGCTGACGAGGTCAACTTTCTCCAGCGACTCGAGCGACAAATTAAAAGGAAAAAGGTGTACAACCAACACGGAAATAACTCGACTACGACTAATTGCGATTTTCATGTCAGTCTGAGTGATCTCCCGCAAACAATATGAGGGGGATAGTAAAAAAAAATTAGTCACCCAGGAAAACGATAAAAAAAATATGCTGCATAGTAACGAGAAAACGAGCGGAATAAGCGAATACGTGGGGATCGTAAAGCCGAATTTACGATGCGACGAGGTGGGGAGAATTAAAAAAAAAAAAACTGCAAACCAGTCGTGTACTTATCATACACGATAACTGGGGAAGTACACCTGGGGTATCCGAGGGATGAATACAGTGGTCGAACGTATAATGTGTAAAAATGAAATGGAGATAAAAAGAAT